CTCTTTCCTAAGACACTCTTCAGCGTCTGGCTACTAGTGGGACCCAGCTCGCGCCCAAGATGGCTGTGGAATTGTACAGTGCCTGACTTGTGGGACATACTCTGCAAATGTTAACTAATGCTAGTGTTTACTTTAACATCAGTAACTACGGTTGGCAATATTAGTGTTATTTTAGCTAACAGAATGTTTATGTGTTTATTGTGTGAGAAGGAAAATAACTGACCTTTCCCAATCCTGTTGAAAATTGAAGAGAAGCAGTGGCGCACGCCTTTAATCCCAGCACTCGGGAAGCAGAGGCAGGTGGATCTCTGTGAATTCGAGGCCAGTCTGGTCTACAGAGTGAGTTCCAGGACAGGCAGGGCTACATAGTAAGACCCTGTCTCAAAACAACAATAACAATCAATTTTTAAAATTTTGAAGAGAAAACCCTATTTCTCTGCTTCCTTCACTGAATGATGGAATTATTAAATGGTTGCTGCAAAGAGTTTTGAATCTAATATTCAAAACCAGAAAAAAGAAGAATGAAAACAACCTTATTTACCTCCTAGATAACATGCAAACTGATTACAACCCAGCTGCTCTTACCTCCTCTCTGCCTCACCATCTCTTCTTCGTACAGAGTGAGCTAAAGACCCACAGTTTAGACTTATAAAGGGCTAAGAGAACCCACTGTGTGATCTCAGACATAAACACTAAAGGGCTCATCCCACTGCTGGGCAGGTCCAGCTGTGACTCCGACAGCTGCTCTCCTCCAAGACAGATGGCTCTAATTGAAATCACACAGAGGAACAAACCTGGCCTCACAGCTGGCTTCTGAATACAGCAGTAAAATTGTGGGATAAAAACTCATGAAATGGTGTGGAATCCAGTAAAGCAATGATGCTCAAGTCATGTCTTCTATTTCCCACTGTTAGTGCTAAATTTTTCACAATCTGATGTGTCCCCAAATTTTAGGTCCCCCAAAATTTCTTATGATCCTATGTTATAAATCATGGAAATTCTGGAAGCTGGCCTGACATGTTTCCATCACTGTAGTGACTATGGGTTCAGATGATCCTCCCCAAGGTGTGGTATTTAAACTAGAAGACATCTCTTATTGTCACAGAGCACAGACTTCGTAGAAAAGATTAAATTTCTAGTCATTCAAGCCATAAAATAAAACCAATGCTTGTGAACCCCAGTAACCAAGTTTATAGTATGTTAGAACCAGTCAAATCCACTTTAAAAAGTCAACCCTCCATAGAAGAGATCATTCAATGCTTAGTTAGGAGCCAGTGGTGCTTTGGATAAGAATGCCCCCTACCCCCATTTAGCCAATTATATTAGGCTAATATATTTGAATTCTTAGTCATAAGGGAGTGGCACTACTTGAGAAGGACTGGAGGTGAGATCTTGTCGGAAGAACTGTGTCACTGGGGGTTAGGTTTTGAGGTTTCAAAAACCCAAGCTAGGCCCAGTGTCTCCTTTCTCCTGTAGTCTGTGGATCTGGATGTAGGACTCTCAGCTACTTCTCCAGCACCATGTCTGCCTGTGTTCCACCATGCTCATAACCATGATGATAATGGACTAAACCTCTGAAACTGTAATCAAGTCACAATTAAATGTTTTCTTTTATAAGAGTTGCCATGGTCAACCAAGACAGAGCATGTTTACTCTTGCAGAAGACCTGAGTTCAGTTCCCAGCAGCCATGTAGGGTACCTCACAACACCTGTTATTCAAGATCCAGGATCTTTCTTTGGTGCCTTCTTCTGGATTCCTCAAGTACTTTTATGCATATATTCATATACAGACATACACATATTCACATAATTAAAAAATAAATCTTTAAAAATATAAGAGGCGACCCTGATACAACTTGAATGCCCTTGGACAAATACCTAAATGTCATAAAACAATCATACCTCTGAAGTATTAAGTAACAAAATTGTGCCAAAACTGTGCTTATCATACAATAGATGCTTTATACTAAATAATGTGGGTTTCTTTCTTTTACTCTTTCTGTTTCTTTTCTTGTTTTTTCCTTCAGTTTTCACGTGTTAGCTTACTTCTTTTCTCTTGGCTTGAACCAATGCTTTTCCCCTACTTACCCCAACATATAGAATAGTCTTTGTATATTAATTACACTTTTTTTTCAGTCTACTTTTTTTTTTTTTTTTTTTGCCCAAAAGGAAGGTCATTTGGAACAGCCTCCCTTTGCTATGATGAGAAAGTTGGGAAAGTTAAACAAGTCTATTTAATCGATAAGTAAAAATCTCTAAAATCTTTAAAAGTTAACAAATGACAATAATATGATGTAATTTCTGATTTGGTTTTCCTTATCTCAGTTCCTCTTACTTCTCATTACCTTGTCTTTTAAATAATGCAAACTTGGCTCATGGTTAGCATCTCACATCTAACAAGTGGCTCTTTGTTGAATTAGGAGAAAAGGAAAAACATATTTTAATTGTGGCCCAAGGCAACACCTCCCCAGTGGGAGCTGAACAAACATTACTTAGATAATTCTGGCTGGAAGACATTCAGCCACCTACCCTCTTATTTAAATGCAAAACTATCTGGAGTAATTCCTGGAGATAGGAAGATGGTTAAGTCACTTATCATGGAGGCTAACCAACTTCATGGCATCTTTTATATATAGTTAAAGCTTTATTGTTAAAACAACCCTAGGAAGGAGGTTTGCCGATGAGGAAGCTAAGACCCCGAGGACTGAAAGGGCTCTGTCCTGTGAACACTAAGTTGTAGGAAATTTCTTTTCCTGTTCATGCCATTACAGTCAGCATTTATGAGTGAATATCACTGTCAAGGCAATTGACACATCTCCCAAAATTAGAAAGATAAGATGGAAATGAGAGAGAGAAAGAGAGAACTGAAAGGAAGAGATACAGGCAACAATAGCCCAATAATTTGGCAACAGTTGGGGTTGGAGAGATGGCTCAGTGGTTAAGAGCACTGGCAGCTCTTCCAGAAGTCCTGAGTTCAATTCCCAGCAACCACATGGTGGCTCACAACCATCTGTAATGAGATCTGGTGTCCATGCAGGTGTCCATGCAGGTGTCCATGCAGGCAGAACACTGTACGCGTAATAAACAAATAATTTGGCAACAGCAAGGTATAAATTTAGATGTAAGCTTCCTTAAAGTCAACAAAAGGAAAGGAGAGTGGCTGGTTACTCAGTTCACAGGAACTCTGATGTAGAATCACATGCACAGGGCAACCCAGAAGAACCTCCTTCCTCTGCCTGTCCTTGTATTTCCAAACAAGGTCTCTATCAGCCACAGCCACGACAGAGGCGGTGGTGACAGTGTGTCTAGGTTTTGGAGACTTGTTATCTTAAGAGCTGCCTAAGTTGGCCCATGTGGCACACCCAGCCTCTCTGTGGAACTTGTAGGGAAGAATCCAGCCAGGTGCCCTCCTTTCGGGAAGTTCAAGGCCTTGCAGGAGGCCTGGGATGAACTTGAGGTTATGTAGCTGTTTCCTTAACCCCCACACACAGCAGCTGTTCCTTAACTCAACTGCACACTTTCTAAAATTTGTATTTGACCTATACATGAGAGTGTGTGGCACGCGTGTGCCACTGCACACATGTGGAGGTCAGAGGACGACTCCCAGGAGCTGGTTCTCTCCCCTGTGGCTGAACTCAGCTTTGTACAGGTGATTTTATTTGCTGAACTGCCCGCAGGCCCCGTCTTTACTTTCATTCCTTGCTTCTCACACACGGTGAATGCTAAGTTACTGCTTGTGAGCTGCAGTAGACAATGAGCATGTGCAGACCAGTTAGCCATGGGAGACTCCTCTCAGCTTAGGCCTGGTTCTGTCAGACATAATTTCTATATTAGGCGATATGGACTTTCCATCCAACTCTGACAGCAGTGCTCAGGGCTTAAACTTCCATATTTTAAATGGAAAATAAAATCTGTGTGAAGTCGTCTCCCTGGGTGCTGATGTGCAACGACTCGTGTTATGAAGTGTCCGAATGAAATAGAACCAACTTTCATAAAAAGAGGAGGGAAATATAATCCTAACACCTCTGGTATCTTTAGGAACAGGTATATTAATTCGTTTCCTTTCAAGACACGTACCTCACGGCTCATGCAAGGTCACAGCCAAAGCCTCACATCTCCAAGTGAAGTCAGCTCCCGAGAAAATGTAGGAAGGTTACACTGTCATGAATTTTATTTTCTTTATTGCGTGTGCACGACACGTGTGTCAAAGGACTTCTGGGTGTCAGCACTTATCTTTCCAGCGTGGATTCTGGGGTCTAACTCAAGTCATCAGACTTGGGTGACAGACAAGTTCCTTTACCCACTCAGTCATAAAAATGATTTTTACATCTGAATGTTTAGATGTGGAAATTTCCCTTGATTTTTTTTTTTAGGAACATGCTGCTTATTTTATGTGTATTATACATTTTACATGTATTATTCTTCCTTCCTTCCTTCCTTCCTTCCTTCCTTCCTTCTTTCCTTCCTTCCTTCCTTCCTTCTTTTTTTATTTTGGGTCTTACTATGTAACCTTGACTGGCCTGGAACTCACTATGTAGACCAGGCTGGCCTTGAACTCACACAGTGCCTGCCTCTGTCTCTAGAGCACTGGGATTAGAGGTATGGGCCACCATGCCAGGCTATTTTGTATTCTTGAGTGTATTTCTTAAACAAAGAGGCAGGTCTTTATCTCTGAAAAAGCATCCCCCGTCACTCTGTGTAATCCCTCCTCATCTAGTCAAGCGCACATAACATGTGAAGAGAGGAACTCTGGCAGTTTGTTCCAGGTGGAGTCGCTTTTCTTTCTTTTCTACAATTGTTTTGCTCCATGTTAGCCAATGAGGTGGGGATTGTTTAAATGTGATGCAGGGAGATGAACAGAATGGTTGTTTGGATATGCAGGCCCCACCAAGAGTTGGTTTCTTTGTCCATGCTGTAGCTAACTAAGCCTGGTTTTGAATTGTGTGACAGGGATTTCCACAACCAAATGTGTCTGAGTGACGCCTGTTCTTCCTTCTCAGCCCCTCTGCTTCCCTGTCAGAAGTCAGCATGTCACTGAAAAGCGAGTCCAGGGTAAACACTTCGGCACTGCAGAAAATCGCCGCAGACATGAGCAATCTGATAGAAAATCTGGACACCCGGGAACTCCACTTTGAGGGGGAGGAGGTGGAGTATGATGCATCTCCTGGAGACCCCAAGGCGCAGGAAGGTAAGGGCAGATGATGGAGGGGTCAAGACTTCCTCAGGCTTGGTTGCAGGGCACAGTGGTAAATAACAGAGGGAGACCACCGTCCTTGGAGAGAGGGCTTCCAGAAACTTATTTATTAACTATGATTTTTTTTTGATGTTCTGTTTGATCATGGGTCTGTCTCTTTAAGACATTGGTCACTCTGAATGACCAGATCCCCACAGTCTACCTGACTGGATCCCATGTCCTCCAGCAGCTCTGGGACAGAGTCAGGCCATGCTATCCTGTGGCTTCAGAGCCCCTAATTTATGGTTCTGCCCAGTGTCTGGCTTATTTCCTTGTTGTGTATGCTAACCCAGACTGAATCACAAGGTGTGAAACCCAACCGTGGAAAGGATACAGATGTCATTTTGTTCCTTTATTGTGTTTCTCTGTGTGCCCTTCTCTGGGCTTCCCTGTCACCCTGTGCTGGTCAGCTGCCACCTACTTGTCCTTTTGTTTATTTGTTTGTTTGTTTGTTTATTTATTTGTTTGTTTTTCGAGACAGGGTTTCTCTGTGTAGTTTTGGTGCCTGTCCTGGATCTCACGCTGTAGACCAGGCTGGCCTCGAACTCACAGAGATCCACCTGGCTCTGCCTCCTGGGTGCTGGGATTAAAGGCGTGTGCCACCACTGCCTGGCTCACCTACTTGTCCTTTAAACTACATCTCCCCTGTCCAGACTTTAAGAGGCAACCTCTCCTCCCCTTTAAGGCTCCATCATGAGTCTCTGACATAATATAGTGTCCTTAAATGCTCTCCCACCTCAAGGCACAGTCATGGCTCCCTTGGTCCTGAGGCCCTCTCTCCTAATAAAGCTCATTCCTGGGGGGGTCAATTTTATGTCAGCTCCTTTCCTAAAACAATCATGCGGCTCTCCTGGATCAAACTTGGGTCATCAGGCTTGGTGGTAGCATCTTCACCCACTGAGGCCTTTCATCTTCGGTTTTAAAAAGGTGCAGGCCTGGAATAACCTTTCCCCTCTGTCCTTTGCAGAGTACATCCCATTCTCTTCCATTTACAACACTCAAGGATTTAAGGAGCCCAACATCCAGACCTACCTCTCCGGCTGCCCCGTGAAAGCACAAGTCTTGGAAGTGGAGCGCTTCACGTCTACTACGAGGGTCAGGGCACTTTGGGTTCATCCGGTTTGGGTTCTGGTCAACTGTGTCAATAAACAGCCCCGACTCCAGATTCCTTTCTCCCAGCTGTGATGCTATTGGTTGAGCTTTAGTTACCACTTCCTGTAGTTGGGGTTGTTTGCATGTTTGTGTTTTTGATCTTTGCCCTTTGGGGGCCTGCCACCCAGCTCCCAAATAATCAATCACCCAGAGACTTATTCTTACTTATGAATGCCCAGCCTTAGCTTGACTTGTTTCTAGCTAACATTTCTTAAATTATACTGTATATCTTTTGCCTCTGGGCTTTTGTCTTTCTCTGTTCTATGTGTCTTTCTTTACTTCTTTCTCCGTGGCTGGTTGTGTAGCTGGGTGGCTGGCCCCTGGTGTCCTCCTCTCCTTTTCTTGATCATTCTCTTCTCTTTTTCTCCTTCTATTTATTCTCTCTGCTAAACAAATGCAACATAAAAGAATGCAGCACATCTTTGCATCATTAAACAAATGTTCCACAGCAGAAACAAATGCAACACATCTTCACCTAATATTCCACAACAACTTCCAAGTTCCCTCACATCTCAGGATTGCACCTCCTTCTCATATACTCTTCATTCTTACCCTCTTCTTTTTTCCCCTTTATGAACAGTCTCCTTGTTGTTGGAGATGGGGTCTCATGGAGACAAGCCTGGCCGCCATCTCTTGCTCCTCCTTCCTCCACCTCCCCAGAGTTGAGATTATACATAGGTATGAGTAGCTATGTGGCTACTTAGTTTTAGTTTGGATAGCATTCAAGGGCAGGTGAGGTGGTTTAATGGGTAAAGGTGCCAAGTCTGAGAACCTAAGTTTGATCTCTGAAACCAGGTGAGGGAGTGACGAACTGCTCCTGGAAGGTGTTCTCTGACCTGCACTTGAGTTCTGTGCCATAGGGACATGCCCACAGGCACGCAGACACTTACAAATATAAGTAAGTACATGAAAAGAAACAAACAAATAAGAACAATATCATTGGAGGCAATTTATTGATTTAATAACTGGCAAGATGCCGCTTTCTCTCCAGTTCTTTTCACTTGGGCTTTTGGGTTATATTTATTAACTCTCAAACCTGACAAATGGCTAACTGAGGTGCCTATTTAACATATCAAAGCAGAGCTGGCCCCCAGGTTCTCCCAGCATCTCTCAGTCCCTACCTGTTACAGGATATGACTGGCACACCCTGTGCCCTACCCTTAACTTCTCCAGCCCAGGGCTGGGCTGCCCTTCCCTCTGTAATCCAGCCATTTGGTTACCCAGCCTTCTTTGTCTACCGGTTACTCTCTTGGCTTTCCCCTCCCCCTCTCTTCACCTGGCCTGACTCAGGATCATGTTCACTCTGTATTTTCCCAGATGTCCCTGCCTCTGACCATGCTCTCCCTTTTATCTACCATAAACCTTTCCCACTAACCTAGGAGCATCATGTCCTTCCTTTTTATTTCTTTATTTCATTCAAAGTCCATTCTAGCTGAAGGCCAAGTATAAGTCGAGAGAAATTATACTTTTCCTAAGGCTTCTTTAGCAAGAAAATATGAATGCTAATTATCTCTTAAAAGAAAAAAATGTCTGGATATTGAATTCTAGATGCTATATTCAGAAGCACTGCTGAGAGAATTCTGCTGGCAAATTCTGTCTGATTTGTTTTTGGGACCCCACTCTTCAGCCCCCTGGGCCCCACCCTCAGTCCCCTACATGTCACCCTCAGTCCCTGGAGCTCCACCCTCAGTCTGAGACTCCACCCTTTCGGTTTCCTCTGAGCATGGAAAGGGTGTTAGAGTAGACTGTCCTTGGGAGGCAAAGCTGAGCCCTCAGAAACAGACTGGACCAGGAGAGGGTCGGGTAGCTGCTTGCTTGTTGCTGCTTGGATTTCATAGTAGTCAGGGGACCTTTGTCCCTCAGGTTAAGTACTAGTCAAGATTGAGTAGGCTACCACTGGCTTCTGCCTCCAGGTCCACACAGAGTCATAAACTTTGGTCAGGGGCCAGTTGACTTCTGCCTCCCGGTCTCTTGAGGGCAGTTGGGCAACTGTGTTTTCCTGATGATTTGGAGGCGTGACCTGTCTGATTTTGCTATGCAGACTCCAGTTTACACTACCCTGGTGTCTAGCCTCTGCTCTGGCCTCTTTCTTTCCTTCCCTCTCTGTCTCTGACTCTCTCTCCTGCTCTTTCTTTCAGAGATAGTCTCATGTAGCTCCAACTGGCCCTTAAACTTTTGACATATTATTGCTATGTACCTGAGAGTGACCTTGAACTCCACCTGAGTGCTGGGATTCTAGGCCCACGTTTCCACTCTGGGTTTTTTTTTAATTCACTGCAGGGCTTCTGAGTGAAGGCCATGCTACTGAGCCCTGCTTTAGGCTTTGTGTTAGGGTCACATCTCTCTGATGAGCCACGTCTCTAAGATGCCCTTTGCCTCTTCTCCCGCCGCCGGATCTTACATGGCAAGGCATGCTGTATTGGGCTTATGCCCACGCTCTGGAGCAACTGCAGGGTTGAATTTGTCTCTTTGCTCTGAAACCTTGAGCAGGTTACTGAGCCTCATCGGAACACTGGCTCTAACAGTGCTTACCCTCTGCTTTTCCTATTGTTAATCCTATTGGTCAAGAATAAGACCACTACTACACTTTAAGGTCAAATTTGAAGCAAGCTTTAATTAAATACTGGCCAGGTTGATAAACTTTCTGGCCAGGTCCATCTCTGGTTTCTCAGAATATGGCACTGAGCACATTTTGCAGGGGCTTAAAAAGGCAAAACTCATAATTCAGTGCATTTCTGACAAGGTCCAATCAGGGGCAAGAATATATCCTGATTTACTTCCTGCCTGCATACTTCCCACCTACACCCACTCAGGGGCAAGCGTACATCCTGATTTATTTCCTGCTCATGAATCGCCCACCCAAGTGTGATCAAGCACATCTGGTGCAGATGGGTCAAACAAACTTGTTTAGGGGAGTAAAAACATGTGACTTGCTATCTCCTGTAAACAATGGCCTCCAGCCTTTCAGGACTCTGTCTGTGGGCAAGGGGCTTGTAGATTAGGGACATTTTTGTTTCATGGACCTCTTAGGCATAGTAACTGAAACTCAAAATGTAACTTTGGCTCTTACACTGTAAGGACTTAACACTAGTACTGACAAGGTCATGCTCGTGTTATACACTGTATACTCAAGACTGCAGACTTAACACTAGTACTGACAAGATCACACTCGTGTTATGCACTGTATACTCAAAACTACAGCAGCTTTCTCTACCCAGTGTTCTTGAAGCCTGGCAGTGCCTCAGGCAGGGGTGTGGGTAGCCAAGGCTGGACCTTGGGATGTTCCTCTTTAGAAGAAGGGGCGGTATCATGGCATGTGTCATTTGTTTAAGACAGAAAGGACTAAGGCAGTGGTCCCGCCTGCTCCGAGGCCCTTTCTCATGTCTCCTCTCAATCTGCGGCAAATGTTCGCTGTCCATGTGTGACCAGGGCCATCGGTGCTTATCAGGGTCTCACTCACTCCTTCATTTCTAGTGTGCAAATGTGTGTGGGTGTGGTACAGCATCTATACATGGAGGGAGAAGGGTTGGTAGGGGTTTGTCTGTGTGATACAGAGCTTGTTTCATGTAATTTATCATGTGAACATTTAAGAAAATATTTCTATAATTGGTTACTTTAGAAAAAAAAAAAAAGTTACGTACAAAGGTTCACAAGTCCCAACTCCCTAACTGAGATGCTTCGTACAATGAGTGGCCACTGGGAAAGTGGGAGTTAGTTTTCTTTAAGGGCGTGGTCCTGGTATGTCCATCATGCTCCTGTGGGTGGCCCCCTCACATGAGTATTTGGGCACAAATTGAACTGGGTGGGTTATTAAAAAAAAAAAAAGAAGAAGGAGGGAGGAGAGAGGAGGTAGAGGGTGGGGAGTGGATCTGGGAGGAGTCAGGGGGAGGGTCCAGGGGTGAATACAAGCAAAATATACTGTATGGAATTGTAAACAAATTAATAAAGATAGCATATTTTAAAAATGCTAAATATGACACAAAATAGACTGAACTTAAGTGTACTCTAGCTGTTGCTTGCTGAGAAATTTCAGAACTTTCCCCATCTAAGATAACAGCCATTTTTTTTTTAAATTTCCATCACTGTAGGTGCCAAGTATCAATCTGTACACTATTGAGTTAACACACGGGGAATTCACGTGGCAAGTTAAGCGGAAATTCAAGCACTTTCAAGAGTTTCATAGAGAGCTGCTCAAGTACAAAGCCTTCATCCGAATCCCCATTCCTACCAAAAGGTAACCACAGTAGAACTAACATAGTTACCCCACTATGCATGGATGGAAATGTGTTTTTTTATTTCCATAGGCTACCTATTCCATTTGGGGTAGACATTTTCATTTGCATAGCTCTTTTAAAAGTAAGCCACCTCAGCTGCATGCATTGGTGCAAGCCTGTGGTCCCCAGTGCATGGGAGGAGTAGACAAGAGGACCAGGATTTCAAGGCTAGCCTTAGCTACATAGTGAGTTGGAGGCCAGCCTGGGCTGCATGAGAACATTTTAAACATTGACAGGAACGAAAATAATAAGCTGTGACATGAAAGATGATATGAGAAAGTCCAAGAATAGTTTAACAGCTGTCTGTATTGTGTACGCCTGTATTTTAGACATACTTTTAGAAGACAAAATGTCAAAGAAGAGCCCCGAGAGATGCCCAGTCTGCCCCGTTCATCAGAAAACACAATCCAGGAAGAACAGTTCTTTGGCAGGAGGGTGAGTCTTTCCCTGTTCTGCTGCTTTGTGAAAATGTAATTGTATGTGTGTGTGTGTGCATGTGTGCACCCGAGCACACATATGGCATGTATGTATAGTGATCAGAAGACAACTTTGTGGAGTCAGTTCTCTCCTTCCATGTTTTCACGACTTCCCAAGATCAACCCCAGGTCTTTAGGCTTGTGTGGGAAGTCCCTTTACCTGCTGAGCACTCTCTCTGGCTCTTGTGTGGTCTTGAAAATCCTTTCTCAGCACTATAAGGACCTAGCACCTAAGGAGGGGTGGAGCCGTGGCTGCCCCCCCACCCCCCCACCCCCCCACCCCCCCCACCCCCTCACCCCCCCGCTGATGGCTGGCTTGGCTTTTCTGGAACTTAGACATCTCCAGGTCTCCCGAGCCAAGGAGGAAGCAGAGTGCTTGTTAGATAGATTACGGAACAGCGTCTTCCTGATGGAACCTGGCTAGGCTTGAGGGGAGATGAAGACTCAGCATATTCTAGTAGGTTTTGAGATCCACTCCTAAAAAGCAGCCATTTCCACCCATTTATTTGATTTCTAAGAGCTCATTTTAAATATATGTGAAATCATATTCCTGCTCCTTAGACGTGGTGGTTATGGTCTGAAATCAGCAGAACGGAGTACAGGCACAGGAGAGAGAAGACACAGGTCTCGGGTGTTTCTGTCCCCCCTGCTTCATGACTGACTGCTGCTACCAAGGCAGGAAACAGATTCGTATTAGTGTATTAGTAATTCTGTCATTGTTATCAGTCTTGTCTTAGAACCTGAAATGTGTATGATGCAGAAAACAGAGAACACCCAACTAGTCTATATGAAACCCTGCTTTAAATAAAAAAGCTTACCTATTATGAGCAATCCTGTTCTGCTAAGTGAGGAGGATTAAAACCACGCAGCTAGGAGGTGGTGGTGTATACCTTTAATCCCAGTACCCAGGAGGCAGAGGCAGGTGGATCTCTGTGAGTTCAAGGTCAGCCTGGTCTACAAAGCAAGTTCCAGAACAGCCAGGACTGTTGCACAGAGAAACCCTGTCTCAAGAAAAAAACAAAAAACAAACAAACAAAAACACCCACAAAGGCTTATTAGCTTTACAGTTAACACTGCCACCCTGACATGGTCTCTAGGAGAGCAGCCTCTGGACATGCCTGTGAGGGTTCTCTAGATTAGGTTTACTGATGAGTCGTCAGAGCCCATGCAAAGAGCGAGCTGAGCTCCAGCATTCCCCACAGTCTCTGACTGTGAGTGCCGAGTGACCAACCACCTTCCATCCCTGCCACCAGACTTTCTGCTCCACAGTGGACTGTGTCCCCTCCAACTGTAGGCCAGAATAAACCCTTTCTTGTCGGGTATTTTGTCAAAACAATGATAAAAGTAACAGATGCAAAGACCTAAGCATACAGAAAGTTAAATATTGATAGCAAGAAGAGGTTTAAATAACACCCCAAGAGAATGATAGGCATTATTGTTGAGGTTTAAATAACACCCCAAGAGAATGATAGGCGTTATTGTTGTATTTTAAAAGAACAGTGGGAAGGAGTCACTGTACAACAGGGCCCATGTGGGGGGTTTATTGAGGGGAGGGGAGAGAGAAGGGGCAGAAAAGGGGGCAGGGACCAGTCCCTGGGGATTGAGAGCACAGGGAGAGAGGGAGAGAAGAAGGGAGGGAGAGGGGAGGGGGAGAGGGAGGGAGGGGGAGAGAGAAGCCTTTTATAAGGAAATGTAGTGAATATGCACAGGGGTTGCTCTTAGTGGCTGCAGTGGGGTATATCCTGTGAGCACCTAGGAGCAGACCGGTACAGATGCCTAAATGCTAACAGTTATACCTTACTGCCTAATGGTAGAAGATAATAAAATGACTGACAGATATTAAAATGAGACCTGATCTCATCATTGTGAGTGTTGAAATTTTCTACAGACGTGATTATGTTTAACTGTATCCTAAATATTTTTTATTGTAGAAGCAACTAGAAGATTACTTGACAAAAATACTAAAAATGCCCATGTACAGAAACTACCATGCCACGGTAAGTGCCCCCCAGGGGTCTTGGAGGGACCTGTAAGGTCCTAAACTGTAGCTGACTTTGGATGATTTCATGACCATCAGCGCTTCTGGTTCTTGAGCTGCACTCAATTATTAAATACAAACTTGCTTTGGCAGTCGATCTGGATCTGGTTCACAATGATGGCATTGCTGTTTTTAAAATACTGAGTAGAACTTGGTATGTCTGTAGCAATAGATTCAAATCAAGTTGGAATGCTTCTATGGGCTAGATACCTAGAAATCAGCCCTCTTCTCCCCTCAGATATTTAGAATGAAACCAAAAAACATTTCAGCGCAAACTGTCCATCAGGGTTGCATACATCCAGATTAGTTGGAGCATAATTTCACTGCCGTCTGATTGGTGTTTTCTTCTGAAAGTGAGAAGCATGGGAAAACCAGGGACAGAAAGAGGTGTTGCAAAATGTAAGAAAAGAGAGAAGAATGTTAGGGCTGAGAAGAGCCACAGAGACAGCCTGGAAGGCCTGCAGCCCACCAGCAGGAGGAAGCGGGAGGAAGCGGGCTCTGCAGGAGCCAGCAGGAGGAAGCGGGCTCTGCTGTGTCAGCAGAGAGCTCTGCTTCTGAGAGGCCCTTGCATGGGGAGTGGAGTGTTTTTCAAAGACTCGCTTTCAGTTCTGCTGAGGTCTGAACAATGGCAAATGCCTGGATTATAATACTTATCTCTGGGAGCACAGACTGTGAGGTTGTGTACATGGACGTGCTGCATGTGGAGGGCCTGAGTCTGCGCAGGTGCGACCTGGCCTTTGAGGATGGTGGCGCATACACAGGGGGACTGACGAGCGAGCAGGGAGGAAGGGAAAGTGCCTGGCTCCGCTGTTTCTTGTTCAAGAGCTTCCCTACAGCTGTCTGTGGTCCGAACATACACCCAGTTGGCCCCGGAGCCAGACTTCTGATGCTTCTGCGGTGGCCTGCAGTGCAGGGTCACAGACTTGAGGAACCTTTCAAGTCTTGGTAATCCTGGCGACTCAGCAACTCCTGCAGTATGGGTCTCACCTGCGGCTCTCAAGAGAAGGATGCCAGAGGTCGGAGGTCTTACTCCAAGTAGGATTTAGGAATCTGTGGTGTCAACGACCCCCACTGTTTAACCAGGAAAGCAGTCCCCAGCTGTGTTCTCTGAGCTCAGGAGTTCTGTCCCTTTACTGCAGAGCTGTGCCAATGTGACCTAACAGCCAGGGGCACTGCCCTCTCTTTCTCTTGCTCCTCTGCCCCGGATTTGACCTGCACCAGTTCTTTTGGCTTAGAAGCACTTGGTCAGTTCAGTCCTCTCTCGTTTCAGCTGCCTTATTACATTTTAGATTGTAATGTGGAGTAAAGGATGTGTATATTTTTAAAAGATGTTTGGTTTAATTACTTTTCCAGTCACAGAAATCTTTGCAAATTGAAGCCACATTATATTTATAAACCCCGGGGTACCTTATAAGCACTACTTTCAGAGGAGAAGAACTAGCTCCCAACCTAATGAATGGACCCTTCCTGCTTGTTCCTGATGGTTGACCAGATAGTCCCTCCAACAGCTGCATTCTCCCTATTGATTCAAGCAAGGATACGATTGATCTTAATTTGCTAACATTTCCGTTCATGGTAAATTTCACCCAGCCTCAAGACTAGATACACAGACCATATATCATTTTGCAAAATTAGATTACTGTCTATGTTTTTCCTGTAATAACTGAGAAATATTTAAAGTCCCAACTGCAAAGGGCATATTGCAAGTTATTTATTTATTTTACAATGTAACATGCTTCTACTTTATAAAGCAAGCCTGTTTGAAGCTAACTCAAGTCTTTTTCTTTTGTATGTGGTATATACACGTTTAGAGGTGTGCATGTGTAGTGACCAGAGGTTAACATCATATGTCCACCTCTGTCTCTCTCCCAATGACTTTTTGAGACTTGATCTCTTACTGAACCTGGAACTCACCAATTAGCAAGGTTGGCTGACCATATAACTCCCTCCTCCCATGTCTGGGATGACAGGCATCCACTGCCATGTCCAGGATTTTATACAGGTGCTGTTTACATGATAAGTACTTTGTCCACTGAGCCATCTCCTCAGCCCTGAACTCGGGTCTTTAAGACAAACCCTGGGCCATAAGTTACTGAATTCCCACCAGTACCTGCCTGGTGGAGATTACTCCCAGGGTCCAGAAAAGATGCTACCAGAAGGCTGGGAATCTAATCTGAGGGATATCAAGTGAATCTAAGTACACCAAGCTCTTTAATCCATTCACTTATTCTTCTAGGTCAGCCCTGTCTGCAGGGCTTCTTTTCTGTTCTCATGCTTAGCTCCTCTCTGTCCCTTTTTCTGCTGTTCTCTCAGTGTTCTATCTTAGTTCTCCCTCCAGTCTCTAGAGTTTCCCATTTATATACACATACAATCAGCAATTCTCTGGCCAAAGCAAGCTCACAGGGCTTGAATTTTTCAGGGTCATAAGGCAGATAAGAGTTTACACCAGGCAGTGACTGTTAGGCTTTTTTTATGACTCAAGGATGAACCCTTAAAGGGAAAAGGTCAAATGAGAGGGACAGGGACCTAGAATCTATTAGGGAAAATCCAAGAAGGGAAAAGGGGGGATCCGTATATAGTATTGCATTCCTAAGTGCGGTTGGATAATGAGCTGCTTAGTAAACCAAGTAAAAGTAAGAGGAATTAAAAATTTGTTAGTTTGAGGTTAGCTTGGGGCAGCACTTTCCCATCTGCTGGCAGGGGAAGTGTTCTGGGTTGCTAGGCAACCTGTGTCACAGCATGATGTACCTGGTGTGTAAAAGCCCTTTCCTTCTGAGTTAATGCTAAAGGGGGATCTTTAGAACTAAGGGTAACATTGGGCTATGGGAAAGAGGAGAAAATTAAGCTTAATTTGCATAAGAAACAAAGCTTTGTATCAAACATCCACCTGGCCTTGGCGGTTGTCTCAGTGAAAATATTTACCTTATCTCAGGAACTAGCAGATAGTCTGAATGCTTATCCATCTGCAGTCGGTCCTTGGGCGTCTGAGAAGTATCTCAGCTAAAATACTTTTGTCCGTAGATGGCCCTGGCCAGAAGTTTGCTAATAAAGATAATTACAGAAAGGCAGACTTCTGAGTCTAATGCTAAAGGGAGAACAAAGGCCTGAAAAAGGGGTCTTGACTGTGTGGCTGTTGTCAACACAGTTGGGAGAAGTTATCCAAGTACCCCAATAGATAGGGGAAATTGTGCCCAATGAGTGATCAACCACACTGTTAGAGGTTCTTGGGAAAAGAATCAAATGGGAAAGCTACAGTAACACACAAGAGATTTGCTGCAGGAAACAGCTAATACATTCAAAGCCAGTATCACCAATACTCTGTGAGTCTTGGCTTTATCCTCTGGAATAGTTCTTGACAATAGCTTTTGCCATTGTCAGCTGAATTCCTACTTCATATGTCTACGGCTCGCAGCAGTAAGTCAAGGGATTGGATAGGATGCGTGTTTAACTCTAGGACTGTGCAGATCTGTATATAAGGGCTGGGGATGGGCACTCAATTTATAGAGTGCCTGCGCCAGGTTTGAGTGCCAGAACTGCACAAACCAGCTCTGGTGGTGCATGCCTGTAATCCTGGTAGTCAGGAGCCAGAAGAAAGCAGGAGAATTACAAATTCAAGGTCATCCTCAGCTACATGGTTGGAGGTCACCCTGGGCTAATGTCACAGTGATGGGACTCGCACCTCAAACAAACATACAAACAAACAACAAAGTAACCATTCTGTCTTTGGAACCTGTATTTTTTAACAGAAGTTTGGGCGATTCTCCTCAGGAGGGTTTGGGAACTAAATTATCCAGCTATGGCATATTTTGGCACAGGCCTTCAAAAGCCCAGGAAAGATTTGCTGTTAACAGTGCTGGCTTAAGAGGATTCACCCAGAGGGAGCTGGCCTGGCCTGAAAGTGCTGGGTCTAGTTTGCTTAGAGGTTTTGAAGCTGGCCATTCCCTCTTTCTTTTACACCATCCTCTGTTGATTTTGTGTGCAGGGAACTGCCTTTCCTCCCAGGATCATGGAGACTTTTTTTTTGTCTTTATTTCCTCTTCCAACTCTGACAGAGTAGCCTAGCTTTCAATCTCAGGCTCCCCAGGGAGATTGCTCATTAAGTTCTCCTTACTAATTTGTAGAATGACCAAACATGTCGATGCAAAAATGCAGCGCTCACCTCAAAGGGTGATTATTTTGGAGTCAAATATGAGTGATCATGTGCTGGGAACACAGACTCAAGCTTCCCCAGATGGCATGTTCCCCCATGGAAGTGGTGATGTGAGATTTCAATAGTTACAGAACAAAGAGAGTCCTCAGTCAAAGTGTTAATCCACTGTGGTGACCACAAAGCGGGGGCACGACGTAGTTTTGGGTAATTTTTGATGAGTTTCTCAGCCTTTGGACTTATGGGAGCTAGTGGGTGGTTAAGTTTGCCTTGTGAAGCTTTGATAGTCACAGGGAAGTTTGGCAGGCACAGGGATGACAATGACTGGATTTTGAAGGGACACTAAAGAGTCCGAGATAATTTGGCTCTGGTCTGCAATGTTCTGTCTCGCCATAATTCATCATTTGTGGAAACTTTAACTCAAGGACAGTGTTTCCCTCTCTTCACCATCCTTTTTGAGAACTGTCACAGAGTGTTTCACTTCTATTGACATAAACACACGTGCACACACACGTGCGCGCACACACACACACACACACACACACACACACACACACACACACACACACACAGTGGCTATCTGACTGAGCTGTGCGACACCACGCAGAAAACTGCAGGTCTGAGATTGTTCTGGGATTGGGTGTCGCACAGAATCCACAACTGGGGCATTTTAGGGGCTGATTGGAAAATGCTTTTCTCTCAGGAAATAAAGGAAGTAGGGTAAGTAACAGTAAATGTGTTGTTCCTCTTAAGATTAAAGTCTGGACGTAGAACGCAAGGCCCAGATTCTGAGAAAAGACCCCAACTGCTGGGAGCCCATGGCAGTCCTGACTGGTGGTCAGTCATGAACCGCTGATGAGGTGACTTCTCTCCAGGGTGGGGTTAGCTTGAAACCTTACATAAAACATAAACACCTCTCAGAGCAATAATTCTGAGTTCACGTCTCCCTCCCTTTGTAGGGCAAGAAAAATTAACTGGAGGCAAGGAATAGGTAAGGAATAAAGAGACAGTTTCCATAGCAACAGAGAGACGCTGTGTTGCATTTTCAAATTAAGTGGTTTATCGTTTTTCCATGACCGCATCTCAGTGGGGTGGACACGGGGCCTTTGTCGACCCCCTTCTCTCCATAGCTTGGATGTCTCAGTCTTCTGTAGCTGTGTAAGCCGGTTTATACAGGAGAGAGGCGGCTGTCCTTGGAGTCCCTGGGCATGCCTCTCCCCATGTCTACCCGCATGTGGTCCTTCTGGAAGCTGTGGCAGCCTGTCTTATAGCTTCCTGTTTGGCCATCTTTTCAATGTTGCTACTTGAGGCATGACAGGGGCCTCTGAAGATTGCTTCCCTTGTAATACAAAGATGTCCGAAAAGGACAATGTGGACGTGATTGACAAGTCATCTCCACAGCAGGTTGGCATGGAAACCTTCATACTCCCTCATTTCCTTCATTTTGCTGGCTTTTAAGTATCCAGCTGGTAAGGCACAGTGGCATTTTGTGCCAGAGACCCCTTTCCACCCGGCGCCAAGAACATTTTTAATTGAATTGGTTGCAACTGCCTCTTCCAAAATGAAACCAAGATAATATTGATTAGTTTTTTTTTTTTTTTTTTTTTTTACTCAGTAAGCCCTGTGGGATACTGTTTGGATAAATTGGTTTTAAGTCTTAGTTTGAGAAGCACCTGTCTCAGTGGAGGACTGAATTCTTACCATTGATGAAACACCGAGAAGGTTAAACAACATAATCCTTTCAACATTTTATGCTTTTTTTTTTTTAACCCCCCACTTAACCCCTGCACATTGTACATTTGCTTTCAGTATGACTAAGTCTATGTTAGAAAGCTCACAGCCGGACTAGCCGCTCCTCTCTGGCTGTGCTGGCTCTCCCTCCAAATCTCTGGTTGGCTTTTCGTAAGCTATCAAGATCCGCCCCCTTTTCTTTTGGTATGCAATGCAGCTTTGAATTTATTCTTTTAAGTGTGTGTGTGTGTGTGTGTGTGTGTGTGTGTGTGAGACGTGATCCACCACACACCCATGAAGGTCAGAGGGCAGCTTCCAGGTGTCTGTTCTCTCTATCGTGGGACCTGGAGGTGGAACTCAGGCCCTTAGGCCAGAGCAGCAAAAGCCTGTACCCACAGAGCCATCCTGCTAGCCCTTCTCACTATGCAGCCTTGGCTAGTCTAGAATTCACTGTATAGACCAAGGTGACCTGAAACTTGTAGTAATCCTCCTGTCTCCGTTTTCTGAAGAAAATTCTAAGTTTTAAATTAACATGCAAGTGAGATGCCTCGTTCGGTAGAAATACTTGCTACCAAGCCTTATTTATCTCCAGGCCTCACACACGGTAGGAGAGGGCCCATTCCCACAAGCTGCAATCTGACCAACACAGGAGCCATGGCAACTGAGTATGCATGCGCGCGCACACACGCACACACACACACACACACACACACACACACATACACACACACACACACATACACACACACACACACCCCAAATAAACAAAACTATTTCTTAAAAAGAAAATATCTTTGTATTAATGGACACATGGTTCCCTTAGGTTTTTCAGACGGTGTCTTGTGTAGCCCAGGCTAGCCTCATGCTTGCTATGTACTAGAGGATGAACTTGGCTGAGACCAAGGTCTGGAATTATAGGCATGCAGCGCCACACCTGCTTCCTGTTTGCTTATTTATTTTTGTTGTTGGTTTTGAGACAGGGGCTTGCTGTGAAGTCCTGGCTGACCTGTAGCTTGCAGGGATCTTTCCCTTCACCTCCTGAGTGTGGGAATTACAGATGTGTGGAGCGCATGCTGGGCTGCTTTCCTGGATCACTGCTTCCACATCTACTCTTCCATTTACGAGCTCTGTGAAGTTGGACAAACTAGCTGTCCCTCAGTAAGGGTTTCTTCAGGTGCAAACCAGGATAAACATTATCTGTCTGCTCCTTAGAGATAAACTGAAAAGCTGTGGTTTAGGATTTTAAAGATTTTGGATCTCATATTGACAATCTGTCATTTCTAAGTAACTACATTGTCCAATTGATTTTTTTCACAAATAGGACAAAATGTGTAGAGCTGAGTCATCATGTTTTGTACAAGAAATGAAAGCCAAAGACCTAGACTTTCAGAGCCCTTAGTTTTGAAAGTGTTGTGTGTAGATATAGTCAGTGGGCAATTTAAAAAAGTTATTTCAGTCCTTTTGAATTTGAAAAGTTTACTTTCTCCAAGAAAGATACTCAAGAGTTTGATTGAATCTCAAAAGTCCTGACAGATCTGAGGCAGCTCTTTTTTTTTTTTTTCAGGGCTGATATTAGATATTTTTAAACACATATAAACAGCTCAAGGAAAACCGCTGTTTCCTTTTGCTAATCCCCGTCAGAAGCCAGGTAGGGCTTCCTCTGACGGTCCGCCCCACCCTGTTCCGAGATTTTATGACTGTCATGTGACTGGATGAGTTTCCCACTGGACTCCGTTGCTTGTGCAGTCCCACCTCTGCTTCCCCGCTCTGGGCGAACAGCTTTTCTGTCGAGGGGTTCTGCTGTGAATACACTGTGTGGCCAGAGACGAGACTGAACTTGTGACTCTGCCTCCCCGGTGCTGGGACTGCAGGTGTGGAGAGGGTAGAAGCCGGTTGATCCTCTGCCAGCTGAGCTCCGTTCCCAGCTTATCTCTTCCCATCTGCTATTGCTGACATGGCCCAAGAGTCACTGCCACACCTGGGCTTATGAGGCTTTAATGAGAAACCTGTGAATTGGGAGCACTCCATGTTTAATGCTGGTTGTTGCAAGCACTTTTCGAGACAAATCCCCGGCCCGTGTTAAGCACTGCACGCTGTAAGTTCACGTTTCCCTGCTCTCCTCTGTGTTTGCAGTTTGCCCTCACTTCACTATTGTATGCAGGGAGCTCATCTGAATCTAAGATAGATGCGAGCTGGGTGTGGGGGTGCGCACATGGTTCCAGCATGAGGAGGAGTACTTGGGGTTTGAGGTTATTCTGGGCTACCTAGGTAAAAAACGTCTCAAAATCAAAACAACAACAACACCAACACAGAGAGAGGGGGAGGGAGAGAGAGAGAGAGAGAGAGAGAGAGAGAGAGAGAGAGAGAGAGCGAGCACAGATGAATGTTGAATGACATACTGACTTTGGTCTGACTTGATGTCAATTCTACTACCCCGTGCTATATGGTCTTGGTGGCTTAGTTTCCCTAAACCATGGATTGAATGATCAGAATCTTTGTGCCAAATTCTTCTCTTTCTTCTTTTTGAGACAAGGCCTTGTGTAGTCTGTGCTAGCCTTGAACTCACTGTATAGCTAAGGATGACTTGGAATTTCTGGGCCCAGATTTTACCTCCCCAGTACCTAGACCTGGTTTTATATTTATAGCTTGTATTTACAAAGTCTTGCTTGCTACAGCCCATCCACTTGTGTATCCCCCAGTCTGTGTTCACACTACAGGGGAAAAGTTGTGCATTTATAAAAGGCGTCAAGGGCCCACAGAGACCAAAATATTTCTCTGTTTTTGTTGTTTTGATGCAAAAAACCTCTGCCTGCCCTTGCTGTTAAGCGTAGTCTCCTTTTTAAGTTGGGAAAATAGTAACCTCAAAGGGTGTTTAAGAGAACTCGTGTAGAACCGCCTGATGCAGTGTAGCATGTAAAAAGCCCGGTATCAGTGAGAGTCATCATCTTCTATCCCAACTCACTGAGAAGTAATTCTACCAGCGGGGCTGGTAGCTCAGACCTGGAAGCCCAGATTCTCCAGAACTTGAGGAAAGTTCGAGGCCTGGCAGTGTGATTTCCATCACCCCTTCCTCCTTTTCTCTGCATTCTGTCTGTTCTTTCCCATCCCTCATCCCCCACTTCCGCATGCCCAAGATTAGTCTGTCTTCCTTCTAGAACTCGCCATCCTCCCCGTGCATGCTTTATTTTGTATGTATTGTACCATGAAATCCTCTGCTCTCATAGCAAAAGAGGAGAAAGCAACTGCTGGGAGTGAACTCCCCTCTACAGGCTCCAGAATGTTCTGTCTCTCCATCCATAGCACTTTCTTAATTGCGGGTTTAGTATGCAATTCCTTTTCATTTTTTCTTTTTGGAAACAGAGTTTCATGTATCATGTAGCTCAGGCTGGCCTTGAATGCACTTCACTGTGTAGTCAGCTTGACCTTGAACTCCTGATCATCGTCATTCCTCCTGCTGAGTGCTAGATTGAAGATGTGCACTGCCACACCATGCCCACGCGCTGGGCACGTTCTCTGTGCGGTGTTGAGCCGTCCGGTCTGTAGAGTGCACCGAAGCGTTTACACCTGGTGGCTCCTCATACGTGGCTCACACAGCCCCTCGTGTCCTCCTCCTCCTCCTCCTCCTCCTCCTCCTCCTCCCTTCCGTCTCCCTCCCTCGTGTTTTCTTGCCTTCTGATTTATTTTGTTTACTAAATGGTTTTCTGTGGTTTCTTTTTTCTTTTTAGACAGAGTTCCTTGATGTAAGCCAACTGTCTTTCATCCATGATTTGGGACCAAAGGGCCTGTAAGTTCCAGGGCTGGGTCTTTACAGAAAAGTGTAAAGAAGCTGGTGGGTATGAATGCCTGATGCCATAGCTGGTGAGGGTGATGGGGCGGGCAGCTAGGTCTTCCTGGGGCTTCTCCCGCCAGACTAGCGTGAGATGCTCATATGAAGCAGAGCGCCCCCTGCAGGAAACAGGGGCAGCAGCTCTCTCATTTTTCTGGTGTGCTGACACTGACCCTTGTAACCCACCAGTGGGAACGTTCAGTACACATAGTATTCTCACAGCTGTGAGGGATCTAATGCGTATGACGCCTTCTCCCCGTCACTTAAGCAAGCTGTTACAACTCCTTTTAATAAGTATTTAAAAGTAATACTTTGTAACACATGCTGTATAAATAGACAGCGAGTTTACTCAGTGGCTACTTTTCCTTCCCAATATTAGGGTTTGCTCATACAAAGGGCTTACCCTTTTTAATGATTATTTTTTATTAGTTTTAATTTCGTGTACATGTATGTTTGTGTGGGTATGTGCACTAAGGGCAGGTGCCTCTGCAGAGTTCAGAAGAGGGTGTCTGATCCCTGGAGCTGGACTCACAGGTGGCTGTGAGCCGGATGATGTGGGTGCTGGATCCTCCACAAGAGTAATGGGTGTTCTTATCTGTGAGCCCCAGAGCTTACACTTTTAATTTTAGTTAAGTGCAATGCTAGTAGCTATTTCAAAATTATTTTTTCTTAAGTTATTGCACATCTTTCAAAATAAAGATATTGGTTTTTTGTTCTTCGGGTTTCTTTTTTTTTTTTTTTTTTTTTTGAGACAGGGTCTCGTGTTGCCTGGGCTTGCCTAGAACTCTTTTATGTAGCTGGGGATGATTTTGAACTATTGATTCTCCTGTCTCTACCACCCAAACGCTGGGATGATAGGCACATGCTAGTATGCCCAGCTAAAAGTATCGCCACGTGCATAGCCAGTAGCTTTGGTCTCCTTTCTTCATATGGCTCTATTGATACAACTGCATGGGAAGCCATGTGGAATGTGCTAGACTCTGGGGAGCCCCCAAATCCCATCTCAGCTGCAGCCACAGCGGCTACAGGGAAGATTTAGCCTTAAGATCCAGGAGCCAGCGTGCATAGATCCTACACTGTGTCTGACAGAATCATGGCCTACCAATGCCGTAAGGGCTACATTTGTCTGACAGAATCATGGCCTACCAATGCTGTAAGGGCTACATTTGGCCGAGGTGCCTGTCAGGGCCTCTGCTCATGGGCCCAGGCTCATAAAGAGAGCTGTAAGCAAGTGGAGGGTGAAGGAAGGAGGTGGAGTTATGAGAGAGGTGGTTTATATAGTCCCTGACTGTGAGGCTGAGCAAGGCAAGTGTGAACTGTAAATGTGAACTTGATGGCTTAATGTGATGTCTCCTTCAGGGAGGGGATGATCATGAAAAGATCCGGGGGACACAGGATACCAGGTTTGAACTGCTGTGGCCAAGGAAGAGCCTGCTACCGATGGTCAAAAAGGTAGGAGTTGGGAGTTTTGTGTATTTGATTGAATAAACTGAGCATTGGGGTGTTTATATACTACTAGCTTTGCTTGTTTTGATTTGAGGTGTAGCCCAGTCTGGACTCAACCATTAGGTGTCTAGGTGAACCTTGAACTCCTGGTTGTAGCAGTACTTTCTTATTGGGACTGCTAGGTCACAAATAACAGCAAAGAGACTTAGAATTAATTATGAACCTCGGCCTTAGCTTAGGCTTATTCCTAACTATTTCTTATAACTTGAATTAACCCATATTTTCAAATCTATGTTCTGACACATGGTTCGTTTCTTATCTCCATACTGCCCATCCTGCTTCCTCCCCATCGGGCTGCCATTCTTCTTCCCAGAGTCCTCTCTCTGCCCAGAAGTCCCGCCTATACCTCCTGCCTAGCTATTGGCAGTTCAGCTTTTTATTACACCAGTCCCAACAGTACATCCTTACACAATGTACAAATACCACACAGCACCTGGCACTTGCTCCTCCATTTCCCAAGTGGGGCATTACAGATGTTTACCACCACACCCAGCTCTCACATGGGACCTTGCAACTCCTTAGGATGTAAGCAATGGTATAGGAGAGCCAGAGACGCCCATTTGAGCTGTCTTCTTACCCTCAACTGTACAGAACCTCGGGCAGAGGCTGAGCTAAGGGCCTCAGGGTACAAGGGAGTTTGTTAGAGAGGTGTTGTGAGGAAGCAGCAGCAGAGGAAGACAGGTAGAAAGAACAGGGAAGGGAGCTCCAGAGGATCATGGGTAACAAAAGCTAGCCACGCAAGCAGGAAGAGGATGAATTTGCAGGGCTTGGCGGCTGCCAGCGTTTCTCTTCTCCAACAGTGGCCTCCCCTAGAGGTGGTTTTCCCAGCCTCCTATGGCTCTACTGGCCACTCCTCCCCTTTTTCCTAAGTCATCTGTGTGCCAGACACAGCTTTCTACACTTAAGCTTTGAACCCCAGTGATTTTTTCCTCCTTCTTAGAGACTCTGGACTGCCAGAGTTCTGCAGCCTGTGAGCAGACCAGACTGGAGTCATCAGTGGTCAGCACCACCTTGTTGGGATGACTCAGACGTGCCAGTACCTAATGATTGAAGGAATCAGCTGACAACTGAACAATGTGACCGTGGGTGTGCTGTCACCTGCCAAAGTAAAACACCCCACGTGATTCCAACATCGTACATTGGATACAAATGCACACAGCGGGAGAACTCAACATTTAAAATAAGTCCATGGATGAATTCTTACTGAAGCTGCTAGACACTGTAGAAGCAAGCCCTTGGGCTCAAGGAGCTCTGGGGAAAGTGAGGTCACATGTAAATGGAGAGGTAGAAATGGCGTGGATTTAAGTGGTGATGGGGGTGATGTGGGAAGACCCAGGCACTGTGGTGACGAGGGGTCTGGGGTTGCAGCATCGACTGTGGCCGCAGGAGCCCAGTCAAACCCCCGAGGATCCAGCTCTGAGCTCACCCCCCTGGAGGAGCGCTGACAGCAGACGGGACGGGAAGACCTTGTTACTGATGTAAACTTTGGAAGGAATCATGTTTCCGTCGAAAAGCTGTGACTCTTCCTGGAAGGAAATTTTGTCATTTTAAATTTGGTGAATGTTTGGGTAGAGACTCCAGCCTCACCTCCATATTTGCATGTCCTGAGTCACAGCTGAAGAATTTCAGGTATCACACATCATAGACAGATGGCAGCCTTCAGAGGCCAGTGTGGGAGTCTTCCATACAGCTTGGCTGGTGTTTAGAAGCATCAGGAGTTACTTCTAAAGGTGACATTCATTCACAGTGCTTAGTTTTCAATTTTTACGCTTTTGGCTGGTCATGGTGGTGCTTGCCTTTAATTCCATCACTGGAATTGGACTGGAACTTACAGCAGTCCTCCTGCTTTGTCCTCCCATGCATTGAGATTGTAGGCATCAGCCACCACACACTGCTGGGACCTCATTTCTTTTTTCCATGAGAAAACCTAGGAGGCTCAGTTCCCTCTGTGTGCTGTGCCTCCAGGTGCATCACCCTTGTGGTTAGCCATAGGCTTACTCTGACCTTGATCATTGTCCTTTAGTTCCTGTATCGCATGTACTTCCTTTACTGTAGGCTGTAGTCGGTTGTTTTTACTCATACTCTTTGGGGGCCTGCCACCCAGCTCCCAAATAATCACATGGAGGCTTATTCTTACTTATGAGTGCCCAGCCTTAGCTTGGCTTGCTTCTAGCCAGTTTTTCTTAAATTATTCTGTCTACCTTTTGCCTCTGGGCCTTTCCCTTTCTCTGTTCTATACACCTTTTACTCTTACTCTGTGGCTGGCTGTGTAGCTGGTGGCTGGCCCCTGGTGTCCTCTCTCCTTCTGCTTCCCCTGTTCTTGCTCCTTCCTCTTCTCTTTTCTCCCTCTATTCTCCCTGGCTGCCAGCCCACCTATTCTCTCTTTATTAGACCATCAGGTGTTTTAGACAGGCAAAGTAGCACAGCTTCACGGAGTTAAACACATGCAACATAAAAGAATGCAACACATGTTTGCATCATTAAACAAATATTCCACAGCATAAACAAACATAACACATCTTCAACTAACATTCTACAACAATAGGCAACCTGCCCCATCTCCTTGTGCCAGTTGGGAAAGAGGCAGCCTATACGAGAACCCAAATGAATGCAACAAGACTATATAGAAGTCAATGCAGATTTGTCTACATTGTCTCCACTCATAAGGCCCACTGAAGTATGCCATGGCTAGTAGTTTTAGTAAAGAACTGTTCTAGATTTATTTTACATTTATTTACTTATTTTTGGAGCGGGGAGGGTGAGGGGGAGGGCGTGTGATCTTTAGCTTTCAGCCCCTCACTGTGGTCTTAGCTCACGTCCTGCTGTCATTGAACACACATTTGTCCCTAAACTTGAAGTGTTCCTTCGATTCCGTATCTTTGCTTCCTCTCTGCTCTGCAGGATGACCTTGGCCCTGCTCCACTTGTTGGGATCCTTCCTACCCTTGATCAGACCCCAGCTCTTTGCAGCGGGGCCAGGGTGCTCCTCCTGCACCCACCATTCCTCCTCCCTTCTAGCACCTACTCATTTATCCAAGGAGGATCCTGGCTTCTACCTCTAGGAGGCTCACCAGCTCCTCTGGGAACAGATATCTGTATGCTTTCTGTTGGGGATATGTTTACACTAACGCCCACTTTGCCACTCTGCTCCTCCATTATGAAGCTCTTGAGTGTTGGATTGAACAAAGTGCCTTAGAGAGCTACTTGTGTCCTGTTGAACATCATTCATTAATGATCCTTCAGCCAGAAATACTGTGAAATGAACAACAGAATATGTGGAGTATTGGATGTAGTTATTAAATTTTCTAGACTCAGTTGCCTTTATGATGGTTTATGTGAGCAAATGCCACCCCACTCCATTCTTCAGTAAGGGGCTCTTCAGTGCTTCCTGTTGACATCAGGGACATTCTTCCAAGAATGAATGAATGAATTCTTTTTAATTGCTTGGTGTCTGCACAGAGAAGGACAATGGCAAGGCTTGTTTTTGTAGTAATTACTCTCCCTCCTGGGAATCAGACCCTGTGCGTGCTAGGAGAGCGAGCACTGCGCCATTGAGCCACGGCTGTAGCTCTTGTTCCGTGGTGGTCTTGAAAAGGTACAAACAAATGCCCCAGGTGAGACATGACTTCAAGACTTGAGTGACAGTTAATTCTCTTTCTTCAGCCCTGAAACCCCGGTTATCTCCTTCCAGGTGGTTAATAGTGAAAGACTCCTTCCTGCTGTATATGAAACCAGACAGTGGGGCCATAGCCTTCGTCCTCCTTGTAGATAAAGAATTCAGAATAAAAGTGGGAAGGAAAGACACAGAAACCAAGTACGGACTTCGAATCGATAATCTTTCAAGGTAGAAATTTCTAATGTTTGAAACTTATTTCTCCCCCTGTCTCTTCAAGGCCAAAATTTTCTCTTACTCATGAAAAAGGAGTAAACTAGATTTAAATGTTTGTAATTGTTGCTTGGAGCTCCTCAATCAGAAGTAATGGAACTTACGTGTGTGTGTGGTAGGTGCATGCGAATTAACACAAGTGCTTGCAGAGGTTAGAAGGGGACATTGGATCCCCTGGAGCTGAACAACAAAGTTTGGCAACCCATCTACCAATTTGTTGAATGAATCAATTGGTAGTTTGCATTTTTAAAGTAATACAGTTTTATATATTTTATAAATTAATATATTTTGTTAATGAACATCTTTAGAGTGATTTGATTTGCAAAATTTTGTCTGTGTACAGATTTTGAGAAAGGTATCTTGAAAAGATATGAAATGTACATGTATTATATATTTTATTAGCAAATACATTATGTGCTGCTGTAGATTTCTTTCTGGCAGATGTAATACCCTGAAAAAGTTGTGTGTGTGTGTGTGTGTGTGTGTGTGTGTGTGTGTGTGTGTGTGTGTGTGTGTGTGATCACTCCCATCCATATGAATAGTCATAATCTCTCTTTGCACAGTTACAACAGGCATGTATAGCTCTCTTTAATACGTGTGTGCAGCCGTGTGTGCCTGTATGCATGCTTGTGTGTGTGCGCGCGCGCGTCTTTAATACGTGTGTGTGCAGCTGTGTGTGCCTGCATGCATGCTTGTGTGTGTGCGCGCGCGTGTGTGGGAGGTGAGGTGGGCTAAAACAACATGGAGCTTTCTCCTTCTCTCTCAGAAGGTAACTTTCAGGATTGTTACTGAAATGCCTCCTTATCTCCACTGGCCACACCAAGTGGATCTGTTGACATCCAGGCTTCTCCTGTCTCCTTGTCATGTCAGCCAACAAGACCAGCTTCTCCTTTTACTTCGGACTATTGATCTCTGCTTTGTTTGTGAACGCCCGACTGCAGCCTTTGTTCTGTGTTGGCAGTTCTCTTTGCAATCCCTTCTCACGTGTTTATTTTTGCCTCCCCCCTCTTGCTTCTTCTATTATTTATTCATCCATTTATTTGTGTGTATGTTCGAGTCAGTCCTTTCCTTCCACTATGTGGGTCTGGGGGATCGAACTCAAGCTTGTCACGAAGCTTGGTGGCAGGTGTGTCTACCCACTGAGCCATCCCACTGGCCCTCCTATTTTTAAAAAGTATGTTTTTATTATTATTATACACATGTGTGTGGTGTATGTGTGAATAGGGGTGCGCAAGTGCCACATCATACATGTGGAAGTCACAGGGAAACGTTGTGAAGTTGGTTCTCTCTTTACATGGGTCCCAGGGATGGAATTCAGGTCATCAGGCTTGTCCTGCAATGCTGTGTCTGCTGAGCATCTGCCTGGCTCTCAGTCTCTCCCCCTCCTCCCCCACTGGGCCGATACTCCCCTCTCCCACACAACCGTCTTTCCAGAACAGCTTTGCGCCAAGCGAGCTTGACCCCAGGCGACTTCTGAGCCCTCTTGTCCTGCATGATCCATTGCTACACCTGTTGGGGACGCTTCTCTCCCACCCCAATCCCTCCCACCCCCCTGTCCCCACACCCCACCAGCTCTTCTGTTGGACAGTAGCTCTCTAAGGCCAGCACCCGCCTCTGAAGTATTGAGAGGGGCTGTTTGGACACCTGTGCTCCTTATAAATAATTAACTGCAGAATCTGTGCCTAGGGCCCCTTCCTTGCTTTCCATAAGAACTGTTGTGTACCCCCACCCCTGCCCCCTAAATAATCAAACAAAAGCAGAGCTCTGCCTTCTCACTAGGTCCTGTTTCTCTGAGCGTGGCATAGGGCAGCTAGTGCCAGCACCTTGGCCTTTGACCTTCAGTGCTAGGGAACCTATTTTCACTCTGGGGAATAGCCTGACACTTGGGATAAAGTTCTGCTTTTTTCTTCCTGTAGTCCACCAGAATTTATTCTCAATATCTTTAACTCTGTAACAAGTTGAGGTAGCTTGCTCAAGTGATAGAAAAGCCTATGTAAACTGGCTTATTCCAGAGCAAATTTTTAGCCATGTTGGGCGATTAGTTCTCAAGATAAATTACACCATTAAGACACATTTCCTAGGTTTCCTTAGCTCTGGAATCTGCCTCATCCTCAGACCAGTCCCCTTCTGGCCACAAGAAGGCTGCTCACCACCCTCACAGCACACTCAGCGGGAGGGAGGGAGGGAAGGTTTTTTTCATACCACTCTGTTCCCAGAGCTGCTCTCACTGGGTGGGACTGGCTTTAGTGCCCTTGTCCCAGCCCACTGGGTTGAGAGGAGTAGGGGATGCTGCTTTGTACAGCTTTGCTGGGTTCCAAGGAAAAGAGACATCCTCTAAGGACAGCCGAAGCCAGAGTAGTCAGTGTAAGGCGAACTGGGCTGCAGGAACTCCGGCAGAAGTGTGACTTCACTCTGTACCTTCTCCACATCCCTCCTTATCTCCCAAGCAGTTCGAGGTCTACATCAAACACCTTCCTGTGTGTCTGCGTGCTTGAGTGAGTGGGGAGCCTGACAAGGAAGTTCTGACCCAGTGAGTCGTGAGGAATTCTACCAAGGTGTTTTAGAAGCTTGCTTTTTCAAATGTCCATGAACTAGAAATGTCAATTCATGTTTGCTGTGGCATGTTTAATCTTTAAATTTGTTTTAAGAGCTAGAACTCAGAGTAAACCCCCAACACCTGCTTTTGCTTTTCTTTAAAGGACACTGATTTTGAAATGTAACAGCTACCGACATGCTCGGTGGTGGGGAGGAGCCATAGAAGAGTTCATTCAGAAGCATGGAGCTGACTTTCTCAAAGACCATCGCTTCGGTTCCTACGCGGCTGTCCATGAGAACACTTTAGCTAAATGGTGAGGTATTTTTGCTCACAGGTGTTCATCTACTATTATAATGGTTTAAATTTACCTGGAATCAGTCTCAAAACTAAACCAGTGGTTTTTTACTCAGTGATGGATCATACTTAAAGGTATGATCACAGGTCAGTCTTTCAAGTTTGGTTTTTGAGGCTCTTTAAGTGAGCTTACCTGCCTTTAGATTTTGAAGTTTCATTTGTTTTGTGAGATAGGATCTTGTGAAGTCCAGTTGGACCTTGAACTTGCAATGTAGACAAAAATGACCTTGAACTCCTGATCCTCTTGCCTCACCCCCCACACATGATTGCAAGCCTGCTTCACTGTGCCTAGATAGAACTCTGATTTTTAAAATCAACTTCAGGACTGGGTACATAGCGAAGTTACAGTGTTTGCTTAGAATGCATGAATCCCTGCTTAGATCCCCAGTACCCCATAAAATCAGGCATGGTGGCACTGGTTTGTAATCCCAGCAACTAGGAATTGGAAGCCAGAGGATCGTTATTTTAAGGTCATGTTTGGCTCTGTAATCAGAGGCCAGTCTAAGTTACCTGAAACCCAGTCCTAAAAAGAAAAACGAACTATAACTTTATGTATCTCTTAAAAGTACAATGGAAGTTTATTTAAATCATTTATGTTTTCCACCCATGGATTTGAGCTGGTCTGCTTTTAGGCTCAGCTGAAAAACCTATATAATAAGAAGGCTCTATGAGAGTGATTGACATGCTGTGGTCTAAACAAAGAAGACTGAGTCTGTCTCCTAACTGCCTTTCCTAGGTAATAGATGGAGGCAAGATCATGTTGTCAATCTTGTTTCCAGTTACTCAAAGGAAAATGGTAGTACGTAGACTAGGCAGAGCCCTCTACGCTTTGCCTTAGCCTAGGATGTGTTTACTTTACTTTTCTTTTTTTTTTCTTGTTTTATTAAAAAAAAAATCAAAAGAAACGAAGGAACAAAACCTTTGTCTTCCAGGTATGTGAACGCCAAAGGCTACTTTGAAGATATCGCAAATGCCATGGAAGGCGCAACAGAAGAGATTTTTATCACAGACTGGTGGTTAGTATCTGTCCACGAGAATGTTGTCTGGAAGCATCTCTGTTTAGAAATGTGCTGTTGGAGAATTCCACACTATGGAAACCAACAGTAGCCATGATGACTTGGCTAAGTCTCAACCAACTAAGTAGCAGACTCCAACGAAAGACTTTTCCAAAATTGTCCTTCAAATGTTATGTTGGCTCCTTTTCTAATTGCTATGACAGAAATAACATGAAGAAGAAGGGCTTGTCTTGGCTCGCAGTTTGAGAGCACAGTCTGTCATGCTGTGGTAGGTGGGCCTGGTGACAGGCATATGAGGGGACTGTCACTTTGTATGCGTGATCATGAAGCAGATTGAGACGAACACCTGTGCCCCTCTCATGCTCTCCTTTTTATTCAGTCTGGGATGCCAGCCCGTAGATGATGCTGTCCTGTATTTAGGACAGTCTTCCCATTCAGTTAACCCAGTCTAAAAACTCCTTCACAGAACTGCCCAGAGTTTGTTTCCAAGGTGATTCTAGATTCTGCTAAGTTGACAATCAACGTTAACTATTGCAAATATCTTCTGAAAGTATTCAGCTTGAATGGTTTTGGAAGCAGACATGCAAATATTTGTGTTGATATGCTGCTGTGCAAGAGCGGCTGTGGAGATGGAAAGTCGATCCTCTTTAGCTATCTTCCCATCTCGTACTGTTTCTTCACTCGATCCAGGGAACAGCTCCTGAACTTTCCCTCGGACACTGAGATAGTCTTGAGTAGCTCTTGCTACTGCTGTTGAAAGGGCTAGGCCTGGGCAGCTCTTCTGGCATTCCATCAGATTTTAACCTTTTAGCCTGTTGTGGAAACCGCCATGGGAGTCATGATGCTCACTTTACCAAAGTCACTGGAAATCTCGTGTCTAAAGCTCATTAGTTTGGGGGGACTTTGATCTGTGAAGTTGGTGTTGGCTTTGTATTTGTGGTCTGACTTCAGTTCCAGCTACCATCATCTCAGAACACTAAAGCCCATCACAGATGCCAACGTGGCTGAGATGGAGATGAAAATGGCCTGGACTATGATCCCCTCATAGGAACTGAAGTGAATTTCTAAATCCGCTCTACCCTCTTTGAGAGATATGGTCTTGCTTTGAAACCTGGGTTGACTGGAATTCACTGTATGGCCCTGGCTGGCCTTTAACTCACGCAGTCCTCCTGCCTCAGCATCCTGAGTGCTGGGATTACTGACTTGAGCCATGCCTGGCTCTGAAATTCTGCTTTTGTCTCTATCTTACTTCTTTCAGGTGTTACTCATATATGAAGCTTGAAAATAGCTTCCTGACTTAGTTTCTTTTAGTCCTAGATTGGGGGGCAGGGGAGAGCAAAAGAAATGTGAACCCATTTTCTGCTTCTCTTCAGTTATATGGAAATCTGTAGCTCTGGGTCCTCTTTCCCTATTTGGTGCTAGTGACATTTTGAGAGAGACCATTCTTTGTCATGGAGGGATGTCCCGTGGTATCTGTGGCCTCCACCAATTAGCTGCCAAGAGCAGATCTCCATTATGACAACCAGAGAGTCTTTAGTCATTGCCAAATAATGAATACTTTCTCAGCACTCATGAGAATAAGTCCAAAGCTCAATGTCAGACTATATTCATAAAAATATCCCTAGAACTTTGGCAAGGACATGAATGAGTAAAAAGTTTTCCAACTGGTGCCATATTTTTGTGCAAGAAAGTAACATTCTTTGGAAGGTTCTGGATGGTCAAATTCAGACTTCCATTTAAACACCTAAGGAGCTGGAACCTCTGTGATTTCTTCTCTACTTTCCGAAGGAGAGTGAATTGGGTGCTGTTTGTTCCCATGGTGGCCCTGGACCTGCACCTTATTACAACACACATTTTGAAATGAAGCTCCCACAGTAACCTCCTCTCGGGTGATGAGAATTTGCTTTTCTAGAGAGCGTGCAACAGGGCCTGTGGTTCTCTCTCTCTCTCTCTCTCTCTCTCTATTTATCTATCTTTCTATCAGTGGTTCCCTTAGACAATGAACATGTTCGCATGTACTTTTTGGTATTTATTTATTTATTTATTTATTTATTTATTTATTTATTTATTTCCATCAGTGATTCCCTTAGACAATGAGCATGTTCCCATGTACTTTTTTGACCCGTCCCGCGGGCCAGGTTATTGGGGAGACCCGAGGAGGCACCTCCTGAAAGATCAATGGGGGCGAGAGAGAAAGGAGACCAGGCGCATTAAGGAAGACAGAGTCAGTCTGAGTCGCGTCAAGGTCTTGTTTATTGACTGGGTATTGAGGCTTATAAGCAGGGCTTCAGGCAGGGAGGGGGAGCAGGGGAAGCAAAAGGAGAGAAGAATGGAAAATTCCTAAGGAAGGGTGAGGTCACATTGGTCCCAGGCCCCTGCAGCTGGCTGATTAGCACCTACTCCAGGAAGTTGTACAGCCCGTGGTTAGGCCAGGAACCTGTTTTTTGCAAGGTTTGATAAAGTAAGGCAGGTCACACAAAATTCAAGACACAGCTGTCCGGAGTTGGTCTCTAACACTTTTTGGTATTTATTTATTTATTTGTTTGTTTGTTTGTTTCTAGCAGTGGTTCCCTTAGATGATGAGCATGTTCCCATGAACATTTATTTATTTATTTATTTATTTATTTATTTATTTATTTACTTACTTACTTACTTACTTACTTACTTACTTATTTATTTATTTATTTATTTATTTATTTATTTATTTATTTATTTATTTATTTATTTATTTATTTCAGCATGTTCCCATGAACTTTTGGGGGCACTTGTTTAGTGTTTTAGAGTCACCCCTCCTTTCCTAGTCCCCTTCCCTGCCCCACCTCCTCTCCCATGGCCCTCTCTGCTCGCTGCAGCTCTGGAGAATTCCGTCTGGATCCAGCTGTCTCAATCGTCCAGGGCCTTTATGCATTCTAGTTAAACTGCATTTCACTCTGGCCTCCAGCACTTCTGAGGAGGAATTTTCAGCGATATACTATTTTCTCTGTAGTGCTTTCCACCTGTTTGGTTTTCAACATTCTGGTTATGATTTGGGGTTTATCCTGTTCGGTACTCTGAGGCTCATGATTTATTGTTTTATGTCTCTAGCCAGATTTGAGAAGGTCTTACCCTTGTTTCTTCAGCTATAAAAAGTCCTCTTCTAAGCTTCCGTGCTCAGGCTTCCCCTTCACATCGTCTTACAGTCTCCAAGGCTAGCTTCATAGTTTTCAATATTTTCCCTCTTGGTTGTTATATCGGATAATTTCCTTTTTTCTAAATTTACGTTTTTTACTTATTTTGTGTGCATGTGTAGGTTTGTGTATGTACATGCGTGTGCCACAGCCACCACATGTAGAGGTCAGAGAACAACGTGCAGAAGACAGTCCTCTCTCTTCACCATGTGGGTCCCAGGCCTCCAACTCAGTCATCAGGCTTGGTGGCCAGCGCTTGTCCCCACTGGGCCGCCTCCCAGCCCTGGGGCTTGATGATTTCTGGGTAGCTACCTTCACAACCTTCATTCTGGCATTGAGCTTATGAAGCAAAGTTCGGTATTTTTGTTTTTTCTATTTTTGTGGCGATTGTCTTTTTATTTTAGAATTTTATGATTCTCGATATCTTCTAAGGATTTTCCTCTTCTGTTCATCTTTACGTAGAGTTGCATTTTTATAATTCCTGATAAGGGATTAAACTAGATAATCAGGCCATTGAGATGGCTCAGTGGGCAAAGGCACTTGCCATCACCATGCCTGGTGACCCAAGATTCAGTCCTCTGATCTCCAGATGTGCACGGGACGGGCACACGTGCACACATGCATGCAGGCACACACACACACACACAAATAAATAGGTGCAGTTTTTAAGAACATGTGAAGTAAATAGTGATAATCTCATCGTCCACAATACCTATTGTTGGTATTTATGCAAGTTGCTTTTTTGTTGTTGTTGCTGTGTGCCCAGTTTTTTGTTTTTTTTTAAATTGTATTCTAGAAAATTTAACATGCTGATGAAAGACTTTGAGTCTTACTTAAATCTATGGACAGTGTTTTCTTTCTTTCTTTCTTTTTTTTTTTTTCAAGACAGGGTGTCTCTGTGTAGTTTTGGTGCCTGTCCTGGGTCTCGTTCTGTAGACCAGGCTGGCCTCGAACTCACAGAGATCTACCTGGCTCTGTCTCCCGAGTGCTGGGATTAAAGGCATGCGCCACCACCTCCCTGAGAGAGTGTTTTCTTTAGCAGACCATGGCCTCATTTGTATTAGACAGAAAGTTCCAAGCAGCATTTGGGGTGCTTAACAATTGTTTTTAGATTTATTTATTTCATTTTGTGTGTATGAGTGTTTGCCGGAAGAGGGTGTCGGATTTCCTAGAAATGGAGTTATGGATGGTTGTGAACTATCATGTGAGTGATGGGAACTGAACCTGGGTCCTTTGCAGGGGCAACAAGTCCCCTTAACTTCGAGGCCATCTCTCCATCCTCTAGGGGTGGGGTATTAATGCCAGTTTTAAGCCTTTGCTCTGCTGTTGTCTGGGCTATATAATGTGCGCCATCTGGTGGTCCATCTGGGGCATAGCCGCAGTCTATTAGTTCAGCACCTGGAACTCCTTAGATAAATTTTGCTGTGGTCAAATCCCCTCAGGGACAGCCTGGGAATGAGCCAGGAGACCATAAACAGCTCCATGGGACTGCTTTCCTGAGCTCTCCTCTCTCCATGGCCACCCAGCTGTTTTCTAATTCCTCACAGCTTCCCTTGTTAGTACACTCTCTGGAAATGGGAGTTTTGGCTCACCCAGCCCTAACATGTGATCCTGAAACAGTGCCAGTGTAAGGAGCCCTTGGGGACTTAGGTCACCCTCTTGGGATCAGTTCTGCTCTAACGGGAATCTTCTGTGCCTGTGGGCTCTCTGCTGCTGCCCAGGCCTCTGCCGGCAACCCTGTTCTTTCTTGTCAAGCTGGAACCAGAGTTCTCTGTGCTAAATCCATTTCCAGAACAAATGGCCAGTAAACTTAGCACTGATTACACAAGCTTCAAATTCCTTTTCTGCCCTTCACTGCGCCTTTCAATTAACGAGTATTGCATGGTTCGTTTCATTTTTTTAGTAGTGTTTTGTACTGATCCGCATAGAGCTCTTTATAAAATTACACATGTGTGCTTGTGTATGTGTGTGTATGCGTGTGCCACAGCACCCAGGTGGAGGACAGAGGAGAGCTTGCAGGAGTCAGTTCTCTTCCAGCACATAGGTCCTTGGGATGGAACTCAGGTTGTCGGGCTTAGCAGCAAGCAGTGAGCCGTCTCACCAGCCCCTGGGGGACGGGGCGGGGGTCCTATATGTACAATTTGATAAATTCCTTAGTAAGCACTTCCATTTTTAAAAAAATATTTGTTTTTATTTTTTGCACATTGGTATTTTGCCTGTGTGTGTCTGTGTGAAGGTGTCAGATTCCCTAGAACCGGAGTTACAGACTGGTGTGAGCTGCCATGTGGGTACTGGGAATTGAACCCAGGTCCTCTGAAAGATCACCCAGTGCTCTTAACCACTGAGCCATCTCTCCAGCCTATACTTCAGTTTTTTTAGTGTTATTGTAAAAGGCAGATTTTTGTACATTGGCTCTACATCTTGTGACAGTGCTAAATTCACTTACTAGTGATGGCAAACTTTTTGTAAATTCTGTGGGGTTTTTCTCCTTACATGACATGACCTGTGAATGAAAATTATTTAACCTCTGCATTTCAAATTAGTTTGCTTTATATTTTGTACTCTTGTTTTACTGCATTGGGTAGAGTTGTGGGGAGTGTGACTCTGGAGGTATCCTTAGATACCTTGTGGCTGGACTGTAAGGTAGAGGAGCACAGGGGTAACTTTCACCTTCACAGAATTTAATAATATTGGTGTCCCTGATCAGAAAGCCCCAGGTCTCCACAGACACTGTCTTTGTAACTGGAAGTCAGTGTGTGCACACGAATGTGTCAGTAAGAATGCATTCAGCTTGCTGTAGCTGAATTTTAAGAGGGCTTTATCCCATTTAATGAGACACTCAAAATTAAGCAATCCTGAGATTGGGGAAATGGCCTAGAAATTTCAGGGTTCTGGTTATCCTCTTAGAATTTAGCTATGTCTATACCCCTCTAAGCACCCTTCCCCATACAGCACCCATCTACAGCTGCAATGGGCTGTCTTTTTTTTCCCCCTATGTGAGGTGTGTGTGTGTGTGTGTGTGTGTGTGTGTGTGTGTGTGTGTGTGTGTGTGTTCCATCAAGGGGGAAACTTTCTCATTAACCCCGTTTACCTTGTCAAATATCTCATTGTCCAGGATCAAGTCATCTCTAGCTGCACAAACATAGAATATTTAATTCAGTAGTGGAAGGTGGGTTATGACAGCAAAAAAGGAAATGGTAGAGAAATTGGGTAGATAGTCACCAATACCTCTCTCTTTCTCTCTCTCTCTCTCTCTGTGAGAGAGAGAGAGAGAGAGAGAGAGACAGAGAGAGACAGAGAGACAGAGAGACAGAGAAGCAGAGAGACAGAGAGAGGGGGTCTCATGTAGCCCCAGAGGCCTCATATTCCCTATGTAGTTGAGAGTGGCTTTGAACTTGTGACCCTGCTGCCTCCACCTCCCAAATGTTGAGGTTAGGGGTGTGGGTTTTGAATTGGTTTGATTGGACAGAGTTTCCTCTATGACGCTGCTCATGGCCTTGGGGCAGAGATCTGCCGCAGCAGACTTGGTGGCATGTGGCTAAGGCTGGTCTCCGTGGCACAAAGAACATCATCTTTGGTTTCAATCCCTTTCCTTTTGGTTTGTGACTTCAGGTTAAGTCCGGAAATCTTCCTGAAGCGCCCAGTGGTGGAAGGCAACCGCTGGAGGCTGGACTGCATCCTCAAACGGAAAGCAGTGAGTATTTCCACAGTGCTCACACAAATGTTTTTACAGTCCTCATGTAAGCGTGAGGCTGGGTCATAGCTGGAGCACTTGCTTAGCCTGTGTGAGGCATTGGCTGGGTTTTATTCCAAGGAGCATAGAAAACCAGTTGTAGTGACACACACTTTTAATGACAACACTTAGGAGGTAGAAGAAGAATTAGGAGTTCAAGGCCAGCCTCGGCAGTATGGCAACAAGGAGCATAGAAAACCAGTTGTAGTGACACACACTTTTAATGACAACACTTAGGAGGTAGAAGAAGAATTAGGAGTTCAAGGCCAGCCTCGGCAGTATGGCAACATCAAGGTCAGCCTGCGCCTTTTCAAACTCTGTCTCAAAATTTTTTTTTTCAAATATGCTTGTAACTTTTTACTTTAGAGCAGTGGTTCTCAGCCTTCCAAATGCTGCAACCCTTTAATACAATTCCTGATGTCGTGGTGACCCCAACTATAAAATTGTTTCCATTGCTACTTCGTAACTATACTTTTGCTAGTATTATGAATCATAATGTAAATATCTGAGACACAGGATATGTGATATGTGACCCCTGTGAAAGGGTTGATCAACACACAGGTTGAGAACCACTGCTTTAGAGCTTACAAACCAACACACACACAAAACACATGTGCACACACAAAACACATACATGCACATGTGCACACATGTGGGGGGGGACTTCCTTTTTCCCAGTTCATTTTGGAGAAAAGGATATGGGTTGAGAAGATGGCCCAGCAGGTAGGAGCTTTTGCTGCCCAGTGTGGACTGAGTTTGAATCTCCAGTACCTATATCCGAAGTCAGGTGTGGTCATGTGCACCTGTAACCCTCGAACTGTGAGGCAGATACAGGAGCACTGCTGGCTGTTGTTGCCTGCCTGCCTGGCTCTGGGTTCAGAGAGAGATCCTGTTTCAGAGGAATAAGATGGAGAATGATAGAAATGGGACATTGATGTCTTTCCCTGGCCTCCACACACATGCACTTTGGCATATGCACTAAACAAGACCCCCTCCCAGCACACCCATTACCCCCCCAACACACACACACACACACACACACACACACACACACACACACACACACACACACACTCACCTCTCAGAGAAGATGTTAAGGACTGTGGGTTTTGGTTCTAGGCAGACAGTTTACAGTGAAGCTAGCCCATAGATTCTAGGTGAACACTGAGTATGTTCTTTTTGTTATAAAAAATAAACAGTTGAAGCAGTGTAGCTCCATTTATATTGTTAATGAACTGTGTTTATGTGACTAAATTAGAGTAAACCTGATTTATTATTAATCTTCTAATTAGGGAATGCTAGCCCTTTCACTCTGGCTTGAATCTGTCTTACTTTTTTTTCTCTTGTGAAGCATGTTCTCACAGATGTTTGGATTCTGAGTTACTGAGAGCAGCATTTCTACTCCTGGAGTCTCCACACCTCCTTCTTCCTCCTCTCCCCTGTCTCTCTAGCTCTCCACCCACCCTCTTCTCATTCCTTCTCTCACTGTCCTTTCCCATACCTTCCAGAGATTCTCCACAGGCATCAGTACTCAGACCTCAGTGCTGATCCTGAGGAAAGATGACATTTCATTCTATTGGTCCAGCATGGCTTTGATGGATAGTATAATCTATTCCATTCACAAAACAGGAAACTCTGAGCCTGAGAAGTTTAATTCACATATTCCTTAAATAGCTCAGTGTATCTGTGATGAGCTATGTAGAATGCAAATCACCAGGGAGCCTATGGCACATGTCTTTCCAGCCCACCTCAGCTGGCTCTTACTGAAGACTCATGTCCTAGGCTGAGACCTAGCCTTACCAACCAATTTCCTACCTGGTAAAGAATCTGGAACACCCTGTCCCTCTGCCATTTTTTTCTCTGTGAAGCAGCACCTCTCCTAATTCTCCTTAAGATTCCATGTCAGCAAACTTTTCTAGGCTTGGCCAGCAACCTTCACTCACACTGGGAGACCCTCCCCCATAGTGATTGTCTGGAAATTCAATTTCTTTAGGTTTCAGTCAGCATGAACTTGTTGAGTGCCTCCCCATATTTAGGAGCATTACTGATCATACGGGCATGTATGATAAATAAACTATGATTCCTAAGCTGGGGAGGCGTAAAGATCTACACACGTGTGCAGCTCCCCTGTCCTATAGAGAGACAGTCTCAGCAGACACCCTGGTCTTCTGGCTCTTAAGATCTTTCCGCCCCTCCTTCCATGATCTTCCCTGAGGCTTAGATGTGGGTTTCATTGCAGATATAGCGCCGGTGCTGGACAGGCACACTCGGTTGTTCTCTGTATTGTAGCCTGCTATGGCTTTCTGTAATAGCCTCCATCTGCTACAAAAGAAGCATCTTTGATGAGGGGCAAGAGTAACACTTATCTGTGCATATCAGGATAAGATGTTTAGAATGCAGCTAGACATAGTGCTGGTTTAGGAAAGTGGCAGCAGTATGTTCTTCGACATCCTCACTAGCCATGGGTAGTTAGAACTACAGGCAATTAGTGATTGCTGAGAAAGGCAGAATTGGTTTTCCCTAGAGAAGAGCCAAATGGTCATTCAGTACCAAATGGTCAACCCTAGACACATATACAGATAAATGATACTCAATGGACTCAACAGCTTGTATGCGCATGTACGCTCGCACACACATTCAGGAGGTGGAGAGAGAACACTAGGCAGGCCTCTCGGGAACATCTCACAGCCCGAGGGCTTTGGGGAACTTAGGGTGGGCAAGCTCCACAGGTGCAGTAAACATTGAGAAAACAGGGATGCTCTGGTAGAGCAAGGTGGCAGGCTTGGATGGGCTCCCACTGGGGCATGGCTGCAGCTGGGTGTGGGGCTGAGAGCCAAGCCAGTGGTGTGGACTTTCTGATGAAGAGTTAGGATGTTTAGGGGAGGAGGGTGGGTCAATAAAGTGGGGTTTGGATGTCGTCATGTGTTGTTAGCTGTTTTTTGTTGTCTACAATGGCTGCCACTTAAGCAATGGCTTTGGCCACAAGGGCCACAGCCTGAGGGGATTTTGTTTGCTCAGGCACCGACTCTTTCAAAGATACTAAGGGAACTTATCTAAATTTAAAGAACTCACCATTCAACAGTTTAGGTGGAATTTTGCTTGTTCAGAGAGACTGAATAGCTAGTAGCTAACCTTCTCCCTTTGCTGGCGTCTTCTTAAAAACCCAGCGTCCTTCTCTCAGCCCCCACTTAAAAACCCTTGCCACACATGGTTTCTCCTTACCACGTCCTGTCAGCTACTTGCTGACTCAGCCTCCTGCTCAAAGGTTTATTTTATTTAATCAAAGACATCTTTGAATTGTTAATAAGAGCAGTAGGAAAAAATGTAACATACTTTAAAATAGTATTCCCTGACATTTCCCCCCTTTTTTTCTAAATAAAAATGAAAGGTTTTAACTTTAACATAATAAGACTGTTTACAATAAGAACAATTATCAAGTAAAAATTACATTCACAATGTAATGAATTCCAGTTCATTTGTGTCTGAAACATTTAAAGAAAACACTCCATAATCTATCCTATTTTAGTAAATCCAAAATTCTATACCTAATTTACTTTCTATCATACCTAAGGAAAACTACAACTATAACTATCTAGCCTTCAACTCCATCAAAGACTCCAGAAGGGTATAATATTTGAGTAAACAAAAAGTGCATTGCAAACAACTTCCAACAACTCTAGCAATGACAGAGACATCTGACTGCCTGGACAGTCACCCAAAGTTCCTTGGCAACATTGGGTCATCCCTCTTCAGCCTACAGGCCCAAAGTATCTGTCAGACTTTTCAATGAAGAAGGAAATTTGAAGACTGTGTCACCTATGTTGGCAAAGTTTATCAGGCACTTTCCTCTGTGTCCTGCAGAATGTCTGACAGTTTCTTCTGTGAAGCAGGAACCCTGAAGGACCATCCCACCTTGTTTTGGCAGAGTTCAGCGGTCACTTTTCTGTGGGTCAGGCATGTTCAGTGTATACAACATACTGTCAAGCAGTCCAGGCAAGAGCAGCTTCTTGCTGAAATGGCTAGCCTTGCCACATTGAAAACAACTCCATAAGGACTTTCTCTGATGCCCATCATCTCTGAAGTAAATTGGTGCTGCCAGGATCAGATGTGTCTCATTGTCATGAAAAGCTCTAAGTTAGCAAAAACATTTTAAATACTGTATTCTGTAGGTCTTTGATGATCATCTTTCTAAAATATATCTCTATATGATCTGGAAAGCATACCTAACATATCTATAATTTTGATTGGTATAAATGACTAACCACTAATTTATATTTTCTGATTATCCTATATAATTTATAATAATAGCTTTTAAAAACTAGAACTTCAAGCTACATTTCCAAATGAACTCCATGGGCACAATACCTCAAACAAAAACAGAAACACATATACAATATGATGTAACAAAAATAACCATAAATTTTTATCAATATACAAAAATCCCCCAAACAAGAGCAGAAACATGCATACACTGTGTTGCAACAAAAATTACCTTAAATTTGTGTCCTTACAAATACAAAACATTTTAGATCAATAGTTGTCCCTTAGTTTATAGTAGATTCAATAATCTACCCTATTATTTAAAGTAGACTAATAATCTACCCTTCTATCTTATCATTCCTATATCCTCCTCTTCTTTTTCTTTTTCCAAAGAGATCCCTGAATGTAATATCATTTGTATAATTTCCACCCTTGCCAATGCCAGTAATTAATAATAAACAACCCCCCAAATGAAGGCAATCATCCATAACACACCAAATGACCAAATACCATTCTCCCCACCTCTTAGGAATGTAGGTATCATGCCCCCAAACATACTTCCTGTTGTCTGGGGGTGATAATTCCCTGAAAAAACTGAAATATTGGACAAGTCCTGAGAAAACCAACTGTAACATTTATTGTTCAGCCTCTGTGTAATGGGAAAGTACAAAGCTTATCTGAAATCTTGGCTAAAGTATCCT